TGTCCAATCCAGACCATTTTTTATTATTTACATGGGCTGAACTTATCAAACTTGCTGGTTTAGCAAAAAGAACAAATTTATTGTAAATTTAAATAGAAAAATCATTCAATTCAGCGGTTTAAATGTTTGTTGGTTTTCAATTTCTGTGTTAAAGTCTTCGGAAAACTGAGCAAGAAAAAGGATTTAAATGATTATAAATTTCTTCTTAAAGTGAATATTAAAAATTTCATTTTGACAAACTACGTCGACCGATTTTGACCCATCTTTATTGTTAAAATGAAGAGCAAATCACAATATAAAATAGCTGAAACTGAATAAGTCAGAAAAATCGATAGCAATACCTATTTATTTTTTAAAAAACAGCCAGAATCCATACTGTTTTTATTATGCCACAGTATACGATTAAAATTGCAATTAAAATAAATATGGGATACAAAAGAAGATCACTAATTGCAATTACTGATCAAGATTTACCTTTTACATAAAGCGAGTGATCATCACAATGATAAACGTAATTGCATTTATGTCATTTCAGTTGGGATAAGCGAAAATTTCTCCAACCATAGATATAATTCCTTGAATTATGAAAATGTTCTACTAAAAATATCGATGATACATATTTTATAATATAAGCATTATACTATCACATGAGCTGTTTTCATAAGTAATTTTTAGTATTCAGTTTTTCTCGTAACAAATATTTCTGTCACCAGTATGAATTAAATGAATTAAGTCTTTCCCTTAGCTTAAACTTTGGTTTTTCCAAGATGCTTTTTTTGGGGGGAGGGGGGTGTTGATCTACCATACATATCGAAGATCGGATTTACTCCCTAAGTAGACCACTCGAAAGCTAAAAATTCGACAATTATCACAGCCTATGAATTCTTGAAATTTTTCAAAGATTCTTCCGATATTTTAAATTTTGGAGGTTTGGGCCAGTGAAACGGCTGAAAGAGTGCAGTAGATAACACTTCCGACAATTTGACGTAGATTTTACAAACGACCTCAATTTCGATGAAAAATACATAGATAATAGAGAAAATCCGTTTTTATATAAGTCCGTTTTTTTCCGAAAATATTTTTAAAAAATCGTATCTTCTCGATAGAGTAAGTCAGAAACCCTTTTGCGGCATTCCACTCCAGTTACAGTCTACTATCACGTAATTATTTTTTAGCTAGACCAATGATGGAGTTGCTCATAATTAAGTAATAAAAAAATTGTTTCCCCGTCACAAATTATACCATAAATTAGACTAGAAATATAATTTTTATTTTTTTTAACACCATTGTTTAAAATATACTGTTTTAGTTTTAATTGATCGTTAATCACAATTACAAGGTGACCAATTATGAAGATGTAATTGAAAAATTCTGTAGTTTTTAATGTTGATATAGCAATAATAATAAACAATAACAGCCTAGTATAACTTCAAGCCGTAAATGTCGAATAATAATCGCCGCACAACCATTCAAACTGGCAAAAAAGCAATTGGACATAACCCAACGATTCTTGTCTTTTTATAGATTAACAAAATAATAGGGTTACATTCATTTCGGCTAAATTTATACTTGGCGTCTTAATTCGGCCTGCTCGTGCTAATTGTAACTAATTAATAATAATAAAAATAATTAATAATAATAAAATTCTAACTATGGAAGTTAAAATTGATTTGTACCGTATTCAAGGTCAATGATACAGACATAAATGAGCTATACTGTTGGTATACTGCGCTAAAATAATAATCAATCAATGTTATTGCATAACATATTATATTGCTAAAAATAATATCGCCATATTACGCTATATTATGAGACATTACCATTATATAGAATATTGTTTAAGTGCCTAAATTATTTTTATGTATTTCCATTAATTTCTATTGTTTATTTAAAGGAGTGTTCAAGTTTTCAGTCTTGTGCGAAATCCATCAATTCTATTTGGGCTATTTTTATTTATGAAAATATTCTTTAATTAATTATTTGAAAGTGCCAACAACCCAATTAATTTATTCAGCAATGTCTAGAATTTCTCATTCGATTGGTATTTAGACTCTTTTCAGTCTTCCAATTTTTTTCACTCCTCATTTTATTTTTTAATGCATTTGAAAGAATTTACCTCACTTTTTTAAACACCCTAGTCTTGCTAAACGATCCCACAGCAGAAGTCAGATCAACCTCAGGGTGGTTTTTTTTTGGGGGGGGGGAGCTAATTTGTATATCGGGTTCGAATGCAGGACCGATGGATTCGAACCTGAGACCTTTACCGTACAGTGATGAAAGTCTTAACAGTTGCGGCCACTGTCGCCCCTAACCTTCTTAATAGAGAATTTCAAAATTTGACTATTTCATGATTTGTATATTATTTCTTCATTTTTAATTGCTCTTTGATTTTTTATGGGTATTCCGTTAATTTTTATTTCATTTATTTTTGTCTCTATTTTTTCTTTTCCACTTCCGGTGGTCAGATGTTATCCATGTCATACTTTTACTTTTGTTTTAATGGTAAATTATCGTAAAGAAAAGTACCGATATATCTAAGTGTGAAAATTAAAAAAAAAGAAAAGTGGTTCAATATTATGTAATTGTAAGAAACTTGACCTAATTGTCATTTTATGCCTGTTTTAATTGTCAGATTACTTGAATTAATACAGCTCACAACTGTATTACTACTACAGAAATTAAAACAATTAGGGACACATTATAACTTATTACGTTGGTTTGCATCCTATTTAGAAGGTCGAATGCTTAAAGTAAAATTAAAATCGGTACTTTCACATAGTTTTGTAGGAACTTCTGTAATTGCTCAAAGAACGCACTTGAAGCCTTTTCTTATTAAAATTTTTATAAACGATATTTTTGGTTCTCTTCCATTCGTTTTGACCCTAATTACCGCAGATGATGTTAAAATATTCTTAAAAATTAATTCTGTTTCCGCCTGCATACAATTTCAACATGCATTAGTAAAACCTATTCAATGGAGATCAACTAATATTTTTTTAAATACTGACAAATGTTGAGTAATGACTTTCCATAAAATAAAATATCCTATCAAATTTAACTAAGTACTTTCCATAAAATCAGCATCCTATTAAATTTAACTAAGTACTTGCCATAAAATCAAATATCCTATCAAATTTAACTAGGGTATATCAGACTCGCAACTAATTAGACCTAGGGGTGGGGGAGGGTGTGTGTGTGTGTGTGTGTGTGTATGTGTGTGTGTGTGTGTGTGTGTGTGTGTGTGTGAGAGAGAGAGAGAGAGAGAGTGAGAGTGAGAGTGAGAGTGAGAGAGAGAGAGAGAGAGAAAGAGAGAGAGTGAGTGAGAGTGAGTGAGAGAGAACAAAAATTAAATGTTATGTTCCTTTCGCTTACAAGTACAAATATTGTTTCTTTTATTGTCGTTTTACGTAATAGTATGACATTGTTCAATTTATAATTGATCGTTAATACCCTACTAAGAGAAAAACCAATAATCAACGATGTTGACGTAATTAAGCAATATTGCCTTTAATAGTTCGTAAAAGGCAAAAACATTTGTATAATTATGTTTGAACTAGCTTGAATAGTGAACAGAAATAAATAAAAGTCAACTTGCAATTATTCTTTCTAGTAGACAGAAAAAAAAACATTTTTTCTCATTTTTATTTCATTAAAATGCTCATTTTAGATAATTATATGATTATTGTTCTAGTTATAATTGATGATTAATCTCTAACAAAAATCAAAGTAATTAATCAATGATGATGACGCAATTAAGCCTATTTTAACCGATAATTATAGATTTATGCTTGAATATTACTAATTTGAATGATGAATAAAAAGTTTGTTAAATATAAATCAGTTTGATATTATTCTTTAGAAAGAAAAAAAAATTGACGCTCTTTTTACTTGATTAAATTGTCCCATTTACCGTCGTTTTGCAAAATTACAGTTTAAATTTTAATTAAACATATCAACAAAAGATAATTAAGCAAGGTCAATAATCAATGATGATGATGAGATAGATAATAAACATATTTTAACCTTAAAACAGTACAAAAATGTTAATACTAGTTAGAAAACTGTTTGAAATTAAATATTGATAATTAATATAAAATCCATTTTAGTATTTAGTGGTCCATTGACCAAATTATTTCTTTCAATTAATTTATCCTTTTATGTAAAGTTATGATCGCAATGAATTAATATAAAAATAGGATGTCGAATAAAGGAAATTTAAATAGATAATAATACTAAAATTATGCTAGTAATTTTTTATTTTTTTTTTACTTGATTAGTACTGTTCCTTGCATTGTATTTTTACATAATTGTTCATATTACAAATAGACATTAATTACTAATTAAAAGCAAGGTCAATAATCAATGTAAAGGCGTAAGTAAGCAATAGTAAGCCTCAACAAATTAGCGTTTACTAACTAATGAACTATTCCGAGTCAAATTGAAAATTGAAGACCCAACTTTTTTTTCATAAACCGTCGTTAGAACGTTCATAATGCAGCTATAAGCAGGAAGACGATGAAGATTAGTATAAATGAGAACTACCTTTAGATATTGTTTACACTATTTGTTTATTATATTTAAATATAGCCTGGATTAAACTTGCTCCGAAGATTGTTCAAAATAAATAAGTCATCGTACATAAAATTGGAACTGTTTTTGTGATGCACAAGGAAGTTCTGTAGAAGTGTATTATTAGAGGTGAAAGAAAAAGCCTAAATATGAATTTTGTGAAATGATTTTGAATGTGAAATTACAGTTTTATAGTGATGAAGACGTTATTTTGCTATCGTAGTAATAGTGTGATGTCAGTATTGACATCCCTGGGAATGAGGCACACGCCGTTGACTCGTGTTATCAGAACGTCGCGAATTAATTTCCGATGTCGGTTGAAATAGGGTGGCGATAAAGGGGAGGGGGTGAGCTTTGAGGGTTGTTTCTATGACAACGCGGGGAAGCGTTTTTGTTGTTGTTGTTGTTGTCGTATTTGATAAGCAGGGAATTTGAATATAATTTGAAAAATGTGACTCACCAGACGACGCCGAAGGCACCGTATCCAATGGGCCTGTCCGGCTGAAGATCCTGCGAAGCTGCAGGCGGATGGTAGAGGGAGGTCGCTCCACCTGCTGCGATGATGGTCTGGTCCGCCCCCAGCATCAGAGGCATGCTCCCCCGTCCCCCTCGGCTCGATTCCACTACTGCCATTTCACAGCCATAAAATACAATAAAAACAAAAACGAAAAAAAAACGCACAAACACAGGTCAGCTTAGAGTCATCGGTACCATAACACTGTTCCTGCACAGGGGAGGTGAAAGGGCGACACGCAACGGAAAACGGCACGGAGGCTACACGGCAGAGGCTGGAGTGAGACTGACGTTTTCGGTTACAGGTTGACTGACTCCATTTCCTTCTACTGGTGGGGGATGCGCCAAGTGGCCTTCTTCAGGCTCGAAACGTTTGGCTGCAGCACCAACCTAAACAGCACCATCCACCGCTACAATTCAAATATCAACAGTTTCTGTCGTTATATTGGGGCTTATTAGGCATATAAACTATAAATTCTTTACCATTTCTTCTGCATCACCAATATAATTAACGATATACAGATATATATTACAAAACTCGTTTTTTTTTTTTTTTTTAATCCTCAATTGCTGCTCGTGCAATGACTTTTCCTTCAAAATTTTAGGGTTTTTCACCAAAGTTGTCTTATTTTACAAGTGTTCAAAGTTGAAAAACGAGATATCAAACCCAAGGAGAGCAGCAAACCAAGAACATTGTACAGGTCATATTTTCAATAAAAACATTTGTTAGTTGGTAACAAAAATAAATTATTCATTTTTGAGCAGTTTATAAGACTCTCTTTTCCCAAGAATTTCCAGATCCAAAATTAACTTATTTGAGATAGTTTTATGTTAGAAAACAACAACATGTTATTATTTTAAGGGAAATACATTAATTATTTATATTTCGGGAATTTAAACCCATCATCAGCATCTATATTTTTATAAAAAGGCTTATATTGTTTTAAATGATTATTTATAGATCGTGATATGCGGTCTGTTGTGATGTGGGTTTAGAAAAACATTTCCTTTATCGTTTCAACGTTTCTACCTTCATTTAGATTATCTTCAGGGTCTGGGATTAAAAACATTGATTACATTACACAAATACTTGTGAAATGTGAAAATGAATTTATAAAATGATTTTCAAAAAGTAGAAATTTTAGGTTTAATCAAAGTATTTGTTCTCACTCAAACTGTGAGTTTTCTATGTAGATGTGTCATAGTTGTGTCTCGTGTTGACAAAAAACATTATCCTACCAACACTCTCAACACGATAATCACTAAACATCGCACATTGTTTTAAATTTAGAATTTAATATTACCTGTCTTACATTTTAAAAACTATGGCCATTTTAATTTTTTGATAACGTCCATCCTAATTTTGTGGTACTCCATAATAATATGATGGAATAGGCATATTGTGGAAAAGACAATTTATTTCCTACCCATCATCATAAATATGATCATCTTGCATCTGTAATTTAAGATTTTTATATATATTTTTGTATTATTTCTAAGTAATATTTTTAAAAAAATTACTTGCAGACTTATTTGGGATGTAAAATTCATGCTTTTTTTTTTACATATTTTTGAATAAAATTGCTTTTGATACATAAGTTTACGTTTACGTTACTAAGTTTTAGGCTGGAGGATATATTTATTTGTATTTATAATGTTTATATGCCTGTAAGAAGTTTTTTAAATTGGTGTTTTAGGTTAGAAAGTTTTGTATTACCGGTTGTATTAAATGCTCCACGTTCATGGCGGATCACTGGTCCGTCAGTTCTCGCTGTTTCCGTTCGTCTCAGTTCTAACCGGTCACCGAGGACGCCAGTTCAGTTGATTCAGTTCAGTCTCAGTGCAGCACTTTTGCCCTTTGTTTATCCGATGTGAAAAACGGATCGGATCCGATTCCCTTTTGGTCCTTTCTTTTTTAACAACTGGCCGGCATCTCTTCGGGACTTCCATCTTTTCGCAGGTGAGTCCGTTGATACGCTGTTGCGCATCGTTCAGTGATGAAACTCGCTCGTTCGGTCATGAACGCTCTCCAATCCTCGACCTTTCGTTATTCGTGCACCACTCACATTGGTCTGACTGTGATGTCGCCTACTCTTGCTAAACCTTATCATGAAAACAACCCTAAATATTTATTTGCATTTTTGACTATAACTATAATTATTTATACGAATTACATAAATTAAAATATGCTTATTTTGGAGATTTTCTTGGTTTCTATTCTATGCATGTGATAATATATACTGGAAGGGATTGTATACTATATGTCATAGATAGATAGAACAACTTTATTTAAAACAAAATAATAATTCAATTAATCAAATGAAAGCATATTGAAATAATATAGGCCTGGGTTATCCAACAGTCTCAACAATGACTCGAAACATCCACTACCCTAAAGACCCAAACTAACTAACTCTGATTTTAATTTTATTAAATAGTTAAACTTATAAAAACAACCTGACAATATATATTGGGTACGAACATTCTGAATCAAGGTATATAAAGAAGAAAGCACATTCAGTTGTCACTGCCAAGTTTTCGACCTATTTTTAAGTCATCAGGGCAAAACTATCTCAAATATGTCTACAAATTGACATATTTAAGTTTTTTAAGTTGATCTCAAATTTACTTGAAAACCAACTCAATCCAAACATTGCTTAGGACTGTAACGAACAGTTAAAAATGTTGAAAATGATAGGCAAAGACAAAATTAAAAATTACTTCTGGTTTAAATTGGTCAAGCAGTTAACAGAGGTTACAAGAAAGGACTAGTCACAATTCCGTTTTTAGCTACTGGTTTCTTCGTAATGTACTGCATGATTATCCAAAGTATCTCAATTTCTTAAAAGTGGTTCCAGAAAAGCAATAACTGTTTTATTTCTAGTTTATAGTCCAGGTGGAGTATCTAGTCTGTCCTATCAATATACCAAAGTTCTCTCTTTTCAATGTTACAAGTGTCGACCACGTTTTCACTCACAACAAACCTCTGGCTCAAGGTTTGATCTTGAAGGAAAAAGCAAATAGTTGTTGACATAGTTGTTTGACAGCATTGCTGAGTGCAACAGAAGACATCATGCCAAAAATGTACTGTTTTAGTACATCTTGGTTTTTCAAATGCATTTGCATCAATCTGCCAGTCTTAATAACCAAGCTTTGCCAAAATTTTCAGCCTTACATTTTTTGTTTCACACCAGAGTAGTCATTCATAAGTCAATTTCAACTCCATAAGATCTGAAATTGGTTTTTAATAATTATGGAGGTCTATAATTAGGGGGTTAATTTTAGGTCCTCTTATATTTTCCATATACATATATATCTTTTATGTTTTTCCTCCCCTTTCATTCAGCCTATATGTCTGTCAGTTATATGCCACTTACTGGCCATACAAGTTGTAGCGTGGCTAAGGTGGGCCATGTTGTCAGCGTTATTTCCTCCATTTGTTGGGAAGTTACTGTTTTACAGAGAAAAATGGCCCCAAAACAGACCCATGAGGCACTCCTAATAAAAGCATTTGATTTAGGGTGCATCTTGATGTTAAACATCATAAGTTTTGCCAGAATAATTAAACAATTCAAATGTATATGGGGTCCAAATCCCACTGCATTAAATATTATTATATTTAGAATTAAATTATAAGTTAATAGAAAAAAAAATCACCACAGAATCTAAAAGGTATTGTTCAAGTCTTTTGTGGTTAAGGTATTGCAAATTTAAAAAAAAATCATGTACATTTTAACCAGATCAATCTCTTAGTTTGCAGACATTGAATTATGAAAATAAGAAGCAGCATCTGGAACCATTTCACAAAAGTAGGCGAAAAGGGCAAGTGCAATTATTGCAATGCTCTACTCTCCATGACCTCTGGCTCGATGAGCAACCTGAAAAGGCACCTCAAGGCGAAGCACCCGCTCATTGATTTGCAACACATAAAAGAGGAAGTGCAGGTGGCCGTAGAAGAAATTGTACAGGTAGGTCGTACTGTAATAATCTGTGTGTTGATTACGATGTATTTTTCTGCCTAGGAAAAGGTAGACGAAATGAGCGACAGTGGCAATATTTCTCCTTTGAAAACATCAGGTGTGCATATGTCGTGCCAAGAAGGCAAGAACCTGAATGCTTTCCTTAAGAAACCAGACTTTGAACAAAAGCAGGAAATGAACAAGTTGTGGATTTCAAATGGCCGGAAGTTCATTAAGGGCAAAGACGACTACTCTATCTATGGGAAGAACATTGCGAGCAGGATGCGAAGAGCGGACAAATCCCATCGTGCTGTTGCCATAGCCAAAAACCACATAGACAATGTAATATTCAAGCTCGAAATGGGAGATTTTGATGATCCTGTCCATTCTAATGAAAACGTGGACCATTCTGACAACTACCCGGTCCTGGCTGAATTTATAACCGTGCGGACTGAAGTAGCTGAAAATAATGTGTCTGAAGAAAAGTAAATATTAAGTTTAAATAATTTAAAACCATTTTAATGACTGCTAAAATCTTGCTCTTCTCTTTAAAAAATTAAGGTTACAATAATGATTCTGGTGTTCATTCGAGTGATTTTATAAAAAATTAATTACTAACAAATTTTTTCTTAAAATTTGTTGACATTATAATACTATTTCTATATTTTCTTTTAATTTTTTAAGAGAAGAGGAAAGGTTTAATATTGGTATGTATATATTATGAATCGATGTTACATTAATATTGAAATGTAAATAATAAAAACCGATTGTTCTCAATAAAAAGTAATAATAAAATTCTGTAAATTCTTCTAAAATAAAGATATTTTAAATAATTTATTTAGGAACATTTACCAATGCCATTCAAATAAGGCACAACAAAATTAATTTTCTTTTTTATGTGGAACAATTGTTTTTTCATTTTAACAATTAATTTATACAGGTAATTAAGTGAAATGGATCAACTTTTTTTGTAAATTTAAAAAAAAAATTTTATTTTTGTAAACCGTTATCAACAATGTTTAAGAAAATATTATTAAAATGAAAATAAATTCAAACCAGCAAGTTGATTACTTTTTTCTTGCTCAAGGAAAACAATCCGAAAGGAAATTACGCACCATTGCTGATATAACCCTGAAAGGAGAGCAATACTGCTCAACAGTCATAAATTTACATAATTTTTACAACCCTGAATAAGAAAAAATACAATATATAGGACACAAACTATAATAAAACTTAGGACTGTGGTAAATAAGATGAACTAATGTAAAAACAAAGCAGGGCTCCAAAAATGATTTCTGTAAAGCACACAAACATCCTAATATGTTCATTGATAGTGTGGACTTCTATACCACAAAGGGGTGGACCTATCACAACAGTGGTGAAGCAGTACCTTTCTTTCCAAGGGCATTAACTTCTCTGATCTCCTCTACTACTATATCTCTTGGGACCTAGCTATTGGATGCAAATAGGATTTGTAAAATTGGTTGAATTTCTGAATATAAAACCACAACTCTTGTAATAGAATAGCATGATCTCTGATGTACATTTAAAAAAAGTTGTTTAAAGTATAGTTATCTTGAATTGTAGGACATTTTAATATAATGGAAAATACTATTTGACCATGTAACCAATTGATTAATAACCTCAGAGGATCTGACTCGAAGTGGAATCATCCTCAAATGATTAAGAATAGGCCCTGTGAGGTTGGTACACGGACATTTATTTTGGGTTAAAGCCAGTACATGTGTCCAGCAAATAAATAAAGGTTGCTCGATGTGTCTCACCTAATCAAAGGATGGCATTCCTTGGCTCCAAATAGCATGTAGGAATGCCATTCGATATGAGATTGTGCTGTAGGGCAGTGAGTATATGGTCGCTTGTTCCGATTCTTGGAAGAAAAAGGGTTGTTCTATTGTAGTTGCAGTAGTTTTGTGTGCCCTAGTAAGTTTTGCGAGTATATGCATTTATTGGTGAGAATGTGAGAGGGTCAATGGCGGAATATTGAGAACTGTATTGACCCCACAATTAGGTTAGTTAAGTGTAAGGGGTGATGGAAGAATATCAAGTACAACAGTGAGTCCTGAGTGAATAGTATGTAAATAAGTAAGAATGTATTTAATGTTGAATGAGAGGGTCAAAGGGAAACTGATTAGCCCAACCTCAGTGGCCGGATGAAACCGAGGTCTGACCCCGAACAGCCAATACCCAAGGTAGGTGAGGCCGCCGGTATTTTATTTCTTATATTATATAACAAATCGGTGGAATGGGAGAAGCGATAGGCTCAACTCTGTACTGCGTGTGTGAACGTGCATGTGCAGATTTGAGCTGACATAAAACAGTAAATCAGTGATTGATGACATTCTTAAGTGTATTAGTGTCATGTTCATTACATATTTACTTACATAATTTCACATTATCTGCAACTAACAAAATATTTCCAATTGTCATGGATAATTTTTAAATCATTAATGTATGAACAATATGAACAAGGATGGAGCAAGGTGAGAACCCTGTGGGACCCTTGAGGCTTTCTTTTGGATAAATAGATAAAGAAAAAAAAGAAGGAAAATAGGAATACAAAATTGCGTACCTTATTCAAAAAATTTACCATGAAAAATACCAAATATCTTATTATTAAGAATTTTATTATTTTTAATTAATATTGCAGTAATAAATTAACGTGTTACTTACCTGGCGTTGCGGTTACCGTGTCATTATGGCGGTTCCCCCAAGGCAAGGCTTTCCTATTGCACTTCGGCTTGGCTGACCTCTGCGGATATCTCGGGCGCGTAATTTTTGGTAGTCGGGGCTGCTTACGCGATATCCCGGTTGAAAAAAAAATAAATTAAAAAAGCGTTAAAGCTTTAATAAAATTCTAGACTCAATTTTAAAATTCAAATTCAGTTAGAAAAGTACAGTTGGCCAACCTGTGAAAATTGTAACCATGAGAAGGGTAAGACCACAAGGTTGTCCTAGTCGTAGTCGGCCAGTAAAATAAAATGCGGTGACCACAGTGAAAATGTGATTATTAGAAGGAAAAATATAAGAAAACAGCCGAAAAATAAGAATGATAATGCTTGCGCCACATCGCTTTAAGCTAACTTTAAGATGTACGAGTTTTTTTTCACCTGCAGAAATCCTAAAAAGGGTAAAAAAATATTATTCAGTTGTAACGGTTTTATGTTGTCCAAATAATAATAAATCACGAAAGCTTTCAATCTGTGAAGTTTATATAGATGTTGAAGAATAGTTCAAGGTCACCCTGCAATCAATTTTTAAATGGTTTTATCTCTAAAAAAACTTTTATTTTGTATAGAGTGTATGTTTGACAGTGCCTTGTCTCAAGGCAGCTCGCAGCAAGCCCAATCTGTCAAGCGAGGCTGTACCAGCGATATGCAGTCCGACGAGTTTTGTTTCCTCTCCAAAAATGGAAACGGTCAATGCTTCTGTGACCTCGTTGCCACAGCAGTATTTGATGCTGTCGAAGATACGACTGACTTGTGAGTTAATATCCAAGATGGTATCGACCAGGGTTGATTTACTGTCATTTCAGCTTTGGTCATCATGACTAGCATGGGTGGTTATGCGATGGCACCAGGGGTGTTTGACCCATTGACCATTGTCGTATGCTCTTTTGGGACCGGGCTGCTCTCCTGTGCAGCCAATGCTTTAAATCAGTTTCATGAAGTGCCCTTTGATGCGCAGATGGCACGCACGAGAAATCGCCTCTTAGTCAAAGGTGTCATAACGTAAGTAAATTATTTATTAATATGTTGAAGTAGTGAGGAGCGGTCAGAAATGAAGTATTTTAGAAACCTTTTTATTTTTTACAATGTTTTGATCTTTATTTGAGACATTTCAGGGCATGAAGTGTGATATTGTTGTGGTGTTATGTTTGTTTTGAGTGAAATAGTGTTTTTTAATATGCTAAAAGAAATTTAAAAATAAATTATTTTTAGACCTTTACATGCTGCTGTTTTTGCATCTGTTTGTACCACAACTGGGGGTCTTCTTTTATATTTTGGTGCCAGCCCTCTAACAGCTGCCTTAGGATTTGCTAATGTTGTTCTATACTCAGGTATATACACACCACTCAAGAGGGTGAGCATTTTGAACACATGGGTCGGCTCAGTTGGTAATTATTTATACATATATTTTATAAATTATCTAGTTGTAAAATAAGCCTGTAGTATTTTTGATGGCAAATCCAATGAAAATGTCAGTACTTAATTTAATCAACAGTACAGTAATTTAATCAACAATATGCGAACCATTTTGTTCTAATATTTGTTGCGTTTTCCATGTAATTTTGTAAATCCATCCTCCCACACAAAATACCATATTTTTTCCTCAATTTTAAATTATCTTGAAGAATCAATGTACCTTGAACGAAACTGATTAATAAAATCACTTTAATTAATCCATTTTTAGAGTGTGTAGACTATAGTGAATATATAAAAATAGCTGGAAAGTTCAAGAGGGATATAATTTAATTATTGAAAAACATTACGGACTTATTTTGCAACCTAGTATTAATTTTGTCTTATTCTAACTTATAAATGTAGTTGGTGCGCTACCACCATTGATGGGCTGGTCGGCATGCACTGGCAGTCTGGAAGGAGGTGCTTGGATCCTTGCAGGTATCCTCTACGCCTGGCAGTTTCCCCATTTTAACGCGCTTTCATGGAATTTAAGACCAGATTACTCCAGAGCTGGGTATAGAATGATGGCCGTAACAAATCCAGGTAAAGATATGGTTTTTAAATAAGTTAGGGATAAATTGTTTTTATTTTTTTGTAACTTTTCTTTCTTTGGTACTTTTATTATAAAAATTTAAAATTGTACACATAGAAAAAATTATCGTGTCAAGATTTAATATTATATTATATCAAAATAAATTTAAAAAGATAATTTTTGAGGCATGTAGGGCATCGGTGATCACAACAGTCATAGAGTTCAGGATTCAAACCTCCTGAATTTGAACCATCCGTTTTCCAGGGTAATGATGAGGAGGGGGTTTTACTCCAAAAATACCAGTTCCTTGGGATTGATATAACCTCTACTGTTGTGAACCCCGTTGCAAATAAAAAAAATTAACTTTGCTGGGTTTACACTTCCTTTGCAATTTCCCAATTTAAAACAAAGATTTTATTTATTCATAATTATTTCTTTAATATTTCAATTAATTAATTTGATCAGGTCTATGCCGGAGGACAACTCTGCGGTACACAGGTGTGATTTTAGGACTGTCATGCCTCGCTCCATCAGTCGGCTTGACAAATGACTGGTTTGTCCTCGAGTCATTGCCTCTCAACTCATACTTCTTATATCTAGGTGATTTTATCAAAGAAAAGAAAATCTTGCTAGTTTTCCCTCCCCAAACTTGAAATAAATAATTTTTTAGCTTGGAAGTTCTACAAAGAGTCGGACAGTTCCAATTCTCGCAAATTGTTCAGGTTTTCCCTTATCCACCTGCCAGCATTGATGCTTCTAATGCTTATAAATAAAAAGTCGACTAACAGGTAAAATTCAAATTTAAATTAAAAGAAAATCCTGTTGAGTTTTTTAATCTTTTCTTATTTATTTCAGGAAGACTGAGGATCCACCTGGCATAGAAAACCCTCCCAGTTTATGATCCTTTTAAATTTAATTGTATGATAGTTGAAAAATAGGAAAAAGCAGGATTTGTGTGGCTTTACTGCTCTGTACTTATTTGTCTAGTCAATTTAAAAAAAATATATATATATATAAATATAGCAGACAGTCACACATTTGGCCAAACAGAATATTAAAAAGATGCATTAGCTCGAAATTATGTATATAATAAAACTTAATCATACTGTACATAAACGGATTGTAAATATGTAAAAATGAGAGAAAACTAGCTGTGATGCTTAATTTCCTTTTGGATGATTTTCCTTGGGCATGAAAAATAAACTAACTGGTTTTAATTTATGTTAATTTTAATTGTATTTTCTTGAAGGCAGTTGGGCAGGCTTATTTTAACCACTGATTTGTTCAAACTGTAAAATCGTTGTTACAATTGACACACTGTTGTAAATTAATTGTTAAAAGAAAAAGCAAAAAATGTTATCTATGATTTCTGCCTTGTTTGAAAGGCATTGGTAGTTCTAAATAAATTATTTAGAGTATGTTTATTTTTATTTATAATAATCCTTTTGTTGAGAATATTCTCTATTTATAATTTTCAATTAATTAAGGTTTTTAGTTGATATAAAAAAGTCAGTGTCACGAGCGGGATTCGAACCCACAATCTTCGGCTAGATACGCCGCTGCTCTACCACTTGAGCTATCGTAACCTCGATCCACTCAGACTCTAACTTCCCATCTCAACCCCACCTTTTGAATTTTCCCTCCTTCTTTTTTCCATTTATAATTTACATTGGCTGGACTACAGTGGCTGAATGGTTTGGGCATTCGACTCGTATTTGCCACACTTGCAATTCTGGGTTCGAATTCCCCAGGCATATCCATGAAATCTTAATTGGTAATACATAATTATAAAAAAACGTATTGTCAAGTGGTATGACCACTTGTTTTCAACACCCAATAGGAAATCTGAAGTCAGGCCCTCCCATATGACAGGATTTATTTTACTTTGTATTTCTGTTGTAATATTAACAAAAGTTTAAAACAAATATTTTTAAAAAATCTTTTTTCTCTTCCTAAAAAGAGTTTTTTAAAATTAGGAGTATTTCAGGAGACACTCGCATTGTGTTTTTTCCATGTAAATAAGCTTCTTTAAAAAAAAAGAAGAAAAAAAACGCAATGAGATAGTAGGGGAGGGGAGATTGACAGGTAATTATCATTGATGTTTTAGTCATAAAATAACAGATAAAAATGGAAACTATATATTAATTCATATTTGCTTAGTATCCATGATTGACCATATTAAATAGAGTAACCTGTATAAACGATATTATTTTACTTTCTTAATGATGGGCGTAAAAGAAGAAAAAAAAATTGCCAGAAGTGTAAAGGAAAAAAGAAAATGTGAAATAAACTAAGCTTTTGTGTATACGCGTCTTTTGGAATACTCCTCATTTAAAAAACTCTTTTTTGGAAGAGAAAAACGGTAATAAAAAAAATGTATATATATAATAAAATAAAATTGAAACAAAAACAGTACGAAAATTATGCTCCCTCATCAAAATCGAGCTTCTGCTGACGTTTTTTCTTGAAATTTCCTCAACAACTTGAACATTGTTTAACAATCTGTCGATTTCTACTAGGTCTAGAAAAATGCACAATGCTCTAAATAACAAAAGAAATTAAAAAACTTAGAAAAACCTGAAAAATATAAATAAATTTTTACATTTACCATTATTTGTCGTAATAATAATCTAATACATTTAATAAATATAATTACTCATAAATTAAATAAAGAGAATACCAAATTGATCAACTTTCGGAGTTTTTTTCTCTACAAAACCCTTAAAAACACAAAATATTTTAGCATTTAATAGTCAGTCTATACATCAATTCAGTAATAATATTTAATGCTAAAATAATCAAATCTTACCTTTAAAGAGCAAAAATTTCACATCCATTTTGATCAGTGTCAATGAAGCTATACTAGAGAAAGATCACGTTTGAAACTGGGTTTACCTTTATACTGAAGATCTGATAATAAAAACCTTAATAACAGTGCTTCAAAGTGGAGAAAGATAATGATGGGGGAAAAGGAAAAATAATAGCCAATAGAAAACGGTGCGTCCGAAAAATAACTTGGGCCTCAAATGAGACTTCCTGCACGGGAAGGAAGTCGGGGTTACAGTTGATTGTTCCGAAAATTAAGACTTTTTTGGTTTTCGCCGGCAAGCATATTTTTGTCTTCAAATTTGTTGATAAGAATACACTGATGGGCAAATTTAACGCACCACTCATTTTATTTAGTTTCAAATGAAATTATTTTTGCACATTAGTTACAGGTAATAAGGAGCTATTGACGTCAAAATAAATAGGAAATAATGCTTTGTTTACTTTTGTACTGTTTAATCCTATTTATATAAAAAGTAGCATTGTGCTCTTCCATTCTGCTACGCCTACAGATCGCATTCAGTTAATCATTTTCCTTCCTTCCTTTCATTTGGTATTATTCTTATTCTTAAACCTTTTTTCAATGGCTCCAGTCAGGCATTTGAGTAAGTATGACAGTGTAAGAGTCATAACATTGTTAGAGGAAGGATACAGCCAGTGCGAAGTCGCCAGGAGGCTGAGAGTAAATCAATGTACAATAGGAAGAGTTCTTCGGCGCTTAAGAGAAACAGGGTTTCACGCTAGAAGGCCATGACAGAGTCGACCTAGATCTACGAAAGAGACTATAGATTCATCTGTCATCAGGCTCTAAGAAACCGCAGCGTACGGTTACGGGAAATGAGGTTAGAAATCTGATAAGGCAAGTCCGAAGTGTTTCGATTTTCTCCGGGACTGTAAGAAGAAGGCTCAATGAAAATAACCACGGAGCCCGGCATCCGGCTCATGGAGCTCTTTTTAACACATCTCAGAAAATTGCAAGGCACAGGAACATGTCAATTGGTTATCGGAAGATTGGGGACGAGTTCTCTTTACAGATGAGGTGAGAGTTGGCTTCAAATCTTCAGATGGTGTAATTTCATATGGAGACGTCAGGAGAAAGATACGCCTCATGCTGTATGGTTCCTCAGGTGCCATTTAATGGTAGGTCATTGATGTTCTCGGGGTGCATTAGCAGCCACACCGAATTGTTGTGCGACGAAGATTTCAACTTCACTGAGGTGCTTACAAGGCATGATCGAAGAAGACATAGTGTCATTTGCCCCCCACATCGGTGAGAGATTCTTGCTAATGCAGGATAATGCATGTATTGCGGATGACCTGAATGAGGTTGGAACTGAATGTTTGATCTGGCTAGCTCGATGTCCCGTCTTAAACCCAATCAGAGACTTTTGGTGTCCCAATTTAAGCGACTACGATGGCAAAACCCAAGTCCTAACACCAAGAAGAGTTGGAAACAGTTCTTGATGAATTGGAAAGAATTCCTCAGGATTTTACTCGGTATTGGAGGGGACAAAAAGTTTTTTTTACATATTTATTTATTTTTGAATATTATATTTTTTGTTCTTAACTTAATAATTGTTTTTTAATAATTAGATAATAAAAATTTTCTTTTTAAATATTTTATTTTTACAACGAAACCTATTTTTGGTTTGGAAAATATGAGTAAACCTAAATGCATTAAAATGTAAGGGTGGTGCATTAATTTTGTCCATCAGTATACATGTATGCATTAAAATCTCTATTTTTTCAAAACTTTTATGTAATATTTTATTTTGGATTTGTGCTTTTTGGAACCCCACAGCCCTTTTTGCATTCTTTATTTCACTATTTGGTGTGGAAGGCAATAAAAATTTGGCAATTTGGAAGCAATAAAAAAAATCCTTTCTCGATTTCGTTTGACAACCCTGCAACTTGGTAAGTCTAAGGAGTAGTTTAGTAGTAATCAACTGCAGAACTGAAAACTTACCTCTTGCGTTTTACAAAGGGTAAAACAACAGTTGGAAAGGGCTCAGAACGAATCGCGACCTCGGCCAGAGGAGATAAACCGATAGATTGCAAAGCCTTGTAATAGGGGCATTACGAATCGTCGCATTAGCTTTTGGCGTTCGTGACCGGTCGGTTTCGATTTATGAGGAACGCCAAACACTCCGACATTGACATTGTTATGTGACGCACAATCGACAATGGCCATTATGTACACCTTCTGTTTCTGCCTTTCGGTACGGCTCGGATCGCTCATCGTCGGGCTTTTTTCAATGGTCAGTTTTCCGTAAAATTATTTGATGTGTGCTTACAATGATGTTTTACAGTTCAAATACATCGTTTTTGTCATTCTGGCCGTAATTTGGGCCAACATGCCTATCCAAGAGACGAGGAAGTTTCTTAAACCTTACATGGAAGATCAAAACCTGCTTTTCATATCGGACCAAGCAAAATTACTAAATGAAGGTAGTAAAAATAACGGTTTTATTTCTTTTCTTATTGCACCTCTAAATTCTTTTTGTAAGTTTTGAGTTGGATGGAAGTCAGTCAGCCAGGCCCTTTTTGGGTAGGTTAAACAGTGGAATAAACTAAGCCATTTCAACAAAATAGTTTGTGATTTTCATTAGCCACTGCACAATTTAAAGTTAGTGTAGAATTTTGAAATATATTAAAATTTGATTTTTTTGGTTAGCTTTGTAGTCACAATCAGGTTTTTTTTGTTAAGATAATCACAAGCTATCGTCAGAACGAGTGCTATTCATTGCCGTCATACACCATTTGTTAATTTGATCAAAATATGGAAAAAAGATTTGTATTTGGAGCTAACTATATTCACGAACCTGGGCTCTGGTTTAACTTAGCTGGTTAACTTATTAGTTAACTCTTAATTTCGAGCTTTGTGGGTTTCAAAAAAGTTAATAATAATAGATAGAAGGTTGTTTGTTCCCTTAACATTGTTATGTAATTGAAAGACACTCCATCAAAGAATGAAATAGACACCTTTTCTGACCATAAATTGGACAGCATATACATGTTCCATTGAGGAGCAGAACATTTGTCACAAGTACTTAAATCAACATTGTTAATGTTCAAGTATTCATTATATATTGCATGGTTGGATCTTAGACTACAGATCGTTTTTCCCAATTTTTTTTAGTTTTAGGGCCGGCAAATTACATCGATCATTTCCAGCCATCACTTTCTTTGCTTTTTTCCTGTCTTTCTCTTTTTAATCCTACTTGTTTTTGTTTGTTTGTCCAGCCAGTTAATTAATGATCAGCCTAATTAGGACAGTAACCGCACGTGTGGATGAAATAACAAACATAAATTCACGTAAAAACAGAAATGAGATAAAACGCAATTGTCTCCATATTCCCGGTGGGGGTGAACCTTTCTATTCACGCAAATAAATTACATTCACACACCATAATTCATTCAAACCATAGAGTACTCGATATTTTTACGAGTTTTAATTGGAGATGTTACCACATTCACGCTAATAAATACATTCGTTCCAACAAATGGCATGTATCACGTACGTAAAGGTATAAAGGTGTATAATATACAGTTAAAAATATTTGTGTCCATGAGATATTAGCTCAACGATCTGTGCCTGCTGCCGAGCCCCAATCAATCAATTTTGAATAATTTAGAGTATTTTTTTGGTTTAGAGGATTTTTCATTAATTTTTCATTACATTGGCAATCGTTCTTTTAAATTACAAGTAGTACAAGAAGTACAGTTATTTTGGAGATAATTAGTTTTCAGTTGTTTGTAAAATTGTTCTTTCTTTGATTCTTGATATCTCTTTTGCCACTCGTTTACATGCTTATTCTTATGTATTTTGAATATTTTTCTATAACGTAACATAAATATCAACAAATTTTCCCCCTAGAAACAGGACTGTTTTACCAATTTATCCAGCAATCCATTCTCTTAAGTCCTCCATGAGTCCTAGCCCTTAACCATGTTGTATCTATTTTTTTCAGTTTAAGATTTCAAATTAAGTGTGAATATCTAAAGATCGAAAGTTATGTTATTTTAATTTCTGAATTTTGGTTTTACTATGAACATCATCAAAGGTTTTATCACTGTTAAAATTGATCAAAAATGATGACTAGGAAAAACTGATAAAATATGTAAGTATAACATTAACATTGGTACATTGTTTAATTGAAAGTCAAGTCGGAAATACGTTTCTAAAATTTAGTTTAATAAAAAAATTCTCAAATATCATTGGAAAATAAATTTTTTGTTTTTATAGTGTAAAAATTAATGGTTATGGATGGCAATTAATAATACATAAAATTTTAATTAATAGGGAATAAAAGTAAAGATTTAAAAAAAAATCCTTATTTCACCTAGACCAGTGTTCGGCAAACTCGTCATCCAAAAGAGCCAAATATAATCAAAAATACAAAATTGAAGTTTATTCAAAGAGCCATTTTTGAAACTTAACCTTTGTTTTAGCAGACATTTTTATGGAAATAATTAGAATTAAAAGTACACTCTCGAGCTTGCCTTTGCAGAATATGTCTTAGTTTAACTAACGGTACATTAAATAAAACTTGGTATCATTCTTATATAAAGATAATATTTATTTAAAAATATAACAAGTTAAATAATATAAAAGGTATCCTTAAAAAAACTACAAATACTCCACTAATGTGAACAATAGCCTCCCATTTCCCTGGAAAGTAGGGGAAAGACAGGTTTGTATGTTGTTTTTAATTTTAGGCACGATTCCAAGTTCTCATCGATAAGCCGATTTCTTAATGTACTCTTGATAAAGTTCATGCTTGGAAATGATTGTTCGCATAAATATGTAAACCCAAATAAGGAAAAAAGCAAACGCTACTTGATTCAGTTGATCATCATCATCATCCAGGTGTTAAAAATCTCTCGCCAGATCTTTCAAAGCAAACCGTTTGTGCTGTAAACTTAATTCACATTTATTTTTCTCCAATAGCTGTAAATCGGTTTAAAGACGCTCGAATTTTGAGCTCCAAAATTTTTTATTTTTAAAATTCAGCAACTGCATTTCAAAGCTGCGAATATCAATTTTAAAGGGCAAAAAATTAATTTCTGTTACCGTGGCATTCAGAGGTTTTTTTTAAACAAAGGCTAGCGTCACTTTTTTGTTTCTAATGTCTTTGAACCTGCTGAGCAAATTTCTTCAGGAAATGTCTGCTCACATATTCCTGATGAATAATACAATGTTAAGTAAGTATCTCGTGATTAATTTTTTCTTTAAAAATAGCAACAATCCCATTTCTTTCACCTGTCATACTTTTCACTCCGTGTCTTCACTAAACATTTAGTGAAAGAGCCGCGGTTTCTCGACCACTGACCTAGACTGTAAGATTCACGGCGCTGAGAGTATGTAGATTTAAAACCCGCAACATGACTGGGCCTTGCAGCTATTTTGCGCCGTCTCCAAGAGACTATTGTTATTATTACTGCATGATTGTTTCTGTACAAATTGGCAGTGTGATAAAAAATATAAATGAAAATCTGACAGGAACCTGTCTGACCATGGTGATGGAGGAAGGGAGTTGTCCATTGCTGAAACTTTCATTATTTTGGATGGTTGGATTAAGGTTATGTTAGGAGGTCAAGAAGTCTTCTTAGGCGGCGTGGAAGATTTTTCGGGGAGTCTTAGAGGGTTTTGGCAAGGGAGACTTTGCATTGAAAGGATTGGATTCTTTGGATTTCGAAACTTTTGGGGTAAGACCCGACAGTTTGTTTGTTAGTGTTTTGTATATTAGTAGTTTGTTACTGCAGATTTAGGCCAAGTAGTTGTCCGTATCATCGTTACTTTCTTGTCTTTCTAGATTAGTGGTATGACTTCAAGTAAGTCTGCTGTAAGTAGATTTCGTTGGATAGGGGATGTTTATATGCACTGGGGGACAGGTTTGAGGTCTAGGTGTCCTTGGGTTGCTTAGGGATGGTTAGGGTAGGTATATGGTAGGTAGGTCCATGTAGGTATATGGAAGAACGGGGTGCCAAACTCTGTCGAATGTCTCAGTGGCAAAAAATATCCTTTGTTTCCAACAGTATTGTATCGACTACTAATAAATAGACGCAAAATATTAATTATCATTAATGTCAATCGTTTATTTCTAACAGTTGGGTTGTTCTGCCAGACGAGTTTCGGCAATTCGCCATCTTCAGAGATCTTTAGACCCAGAACTAAACGCGTTTAACATACCAACCCAGCGAGGGTAAGTAGACCAAGATGATAGGTCAAACTATAGGTATGTCACCTCGCCGACCATGGGAGGAAATCTCAAAAATTGTTTCGTAGAGAGAAAATAAAATGTAGGTTCGAACCTGAGATTGGGATGTTGAGTAATTGAAAACTATAGAATTTCTCAGAAGGAGCGATATAGGTTCAAAAATAGAAAGAGGTAAGTGTGAGGAGGCAAAGATCAATTCGCCCATTTTCGAAGGGGTTTGACTTGGTTTTTCAATAAGAAAAAATACAATAAAAAAATCAATACATCTAACAAATAAACATCAAAAAAGTACAGACAAATGTGGGATTTTGGAAGATTGATTTCATAATTGTATGTAGGTGGGTATGTTTTTTTGTCATTTGTCTTCCAATCAGAGTAAATTAAATTGTAAAACAATACCTATTTTTGTTAAAATTGTTTTTTTATGGAGACAGAATTTATTTTCCAGGAATTGAGTTGGAAAAATTCATCATATTCTGAAGTCTCTCATTATATATGTATATAAATACTGTGTTGCCAATTGTTAACATTTAACCAAAAATATATATTGTAATTTATTTATTGATTTTCAGATCCCAGGCTATACAGCTACATCACACTATTTATATTAGTTTTGCAGTTGCTCAGCACCTTCGGAGAGCTGCATGGAGCTTATTATGTAAGGATAGAATTGATAAGTTTATGTTTTTTATGTTTTAAATGAAATTTGTGTATTCAAAATAATCACTTGCTCGTCCTTATCCAGTTTCAAAGAGTATTAATATGCAATTTTCCTCAAATGGTTTATTTTTATAGGATTGTCTTGTTTATATAATTCAATTGGCTGTACTCTGCCGGCTGCACATTCCCTTGCATTATACACGTGGCCCCATTATGCCTCGATATACGTGCACTCCGCCTTTGATTAATTATTCCTAAACGGAACCCGGTTCAAAACCAATTTCCATTCATACCTGACGGTTTCACTTTCTCCGATTAATATTCAATCGGCGAGCCAGCTTTTCAACGGTGTTTAAAGCCGAACGGCATCCATTGTCAGTAAATCACGGATTTGTCATGATATGGAGCAAGGGTGATATTTTTTTGTTCTCAAAATGACAAACATTTACAATTTTCGTTTAAATGCTAATTCTAACAGGTAAAACCTTTTAATAAATACACAACGGTGTACAATTGTTCTCTACTTTAGAATAATCATAAAGTCAAGTCGTTTATCATGATAATAAAAACAGTAAATTATTATTATTATTATTTTATGTTCATGGGTCTTACACTATACAAATCACAACTGTTTTAATGCGCAAACAATATCGTCCATTCCTGACTGACATTGGAATTGATTTGTGATAGGAATCAAGATCGATCTGGCTGGCAGCACTCGAAATCCGTTCCATTTCTAAGTGTATAAATAAACAGACAAAAAATACAGGAATAAAGCAATGGACCAATAAATGTAAATATTAAAAAACAAAATAATTCACTACATTACTTTCCCCTTGTTTTTTTTAATTTATTTTTTTGGAAGTGGAAATTTTCATTTTGGAGGAAATCTTTTGACTTTCCGCATGAATACATGGCAGTAGTTTGGAAGCAAAATTTGAAGTGCCGAAGAAAAAATATACAAAACTAGGATTTTATGTATCAAATAAACCAAGTACCAATTCAATAATAATGTGGAGTCCAATTTTGTATTCTCTCACTTTTTATAGACGATATCGTTTAGAATATGAAAAATCATAAAAATGTGTGGTGATTAGTGACCGTTAATCGATATTTATTTAGAAATCGTGAGATGCGGTCGGGTTTGAAGTAGGTTTCAGAAAAATATTTTCTTTATCGTGCCAACGTTTCGATCTTTTATTGAGATCATCTTCAGGGCCAGGGATTTACAAACATTGTTTACATATAACAATTACATTTTGGATGTGGAAAAGTGAATTTATACAATGTAAAATATATTTTTTATATATTGAATGAAAGTATTTCTACTCACTAGAATGTAAGAAATACTTTGATTGAATATATAAAAAATATATTTTACATTGTATAAATTCACTTTTCCACATCCAAAATGTAATTGTTATATGTAAACAATGTTTGTAAATCCCAGGCCCTGAAGATGATCTCAATAAAGATCGAAACGTTGGCACGATAAAGAAAATGTTTTTCTGAAATCTACATCACACCAGACTGCATCTCACGATTTCTAAATAAATATCGATTAACGGTCACTAATCACCACACATTTTTAAATTTATCTTAAATTAACTTGCGTATTAGCCAGAGTAAGATTCCGTTGATTGTGTCATTATATACTGGGTGTTCGGCTACTCGTGTTACAAACTTTGCCAGTAGATTCTACATTCAAAATGGAACAAAAAAGTCCTAATTAACTATGAACCGAAACTCAACAGTTCGGAATTATTCCCCTCTTTCTTTTTTCTTTTAAGATTTCACGACCTTGCTTCAAATAAAAATGATAACTCCGTTGATGCCATTAAAAACTTTGTTAAATTTCTAGTAAGATGTCATCAATACTTAACTTGTAAACATTGGTATAATAAGCGTTTTAGTGGCCAGAACGTTGAAATAAATGTTTTTAAAGTACTTTTGCAATTCATGTCGAGAGACGTGGTTGTAAACTCCTTTAACCTGATGATGAGCTAAAAGCTCGAAATCAGGACCATTGGAAAACAACTTACTGTGAGTAATAACTGTCTTTTTAAAAGGATTGAACACCGCACTCACTCCATCATTCATCATTTCTACTCTATGGTGATTCTAAACTACTATTTCCACACCTAGAGACCAGCAAGTGTCAGAAAACGTACTCGATTTAATATCGGTTTTAGTGGTGTAATATCTTTTTTAATTACTTTTTTTCAAAGATGAAGAAATTGATGAGGTTTTAAATGAATGAACTAAAATCGTTTTGATTCTTAAAACTTTATTCCGGGGAATAATAATACAATAATCCTTTAATCAAAGTTGCAGTCATGTTGGTAAATAAGTAAACACTTGCACTATTTCGGTTTCGAACATAAATTAAAAAAGTTAATAAATTCATTTAAAATTTCCTTAATTTTTTTTAAACTTTCCACCTTATCAATCTGTCAACCACGGTTTTTTCCTTCTCTTCATCAATTTCTTCATCTTTGAAAAAAGCAATTACACCACTAAAAAGGATATTAAATGGAGTACGTTTTCTGAAATTCGCTGGTCTCTAGGTTTGGAAATTAGTTTAGAATCTTCATAGTAGGTTTTTCAACATTGGAAAAAAAAAAATTATTCTTCAAAGTTCTGGCCACTAACACGCTTATTACACCAATGTTTAAAATGTTCCATTTTGAATGAAGTATCTACTGGCAAAGTTTGTAACACGAGCCGAACACCCTGTATAGTTGAAGGAAGGGTAGCGTGAAAAAAGGGCTAGGGCGAGGATGGGAATTGAACCGACAACCGCGGGGTCTACGGGTCGGTTCCTCATTTAGTTAAATATCTCAATTATTCTATAAATGTATAGTCACTTTTGACTTTGTGTGAGTTATTGTATAACAAAAGTAAAGCAATGAACAAACAAACTGTATAAATAATTAAATATTAAATAAATCAAATGAATAGGGGTTCACTTGATATGTCAAAATAATGGTATTTTTTTAAACGGGGTTTGCCACTAGCCCTGAGTTCCGGGATTTGGAAAAATGCTAATAAAATTAAGTTCGTTTGGTCAAATTCATGGCTGCTGAGGTTTGAACTCAGGACCCTTGCTGTGATGAGATAATTCATTCTGTAATTCATTAACAAGAGGAGAATACTGGCTTGGATCATTGATTTTAACTAAAAATTTTAAAATAAAAATAAGTTGAAAAATATTGGATATGCCTGATCGTTTTCTTGCCAATGGAGCAAGGAAATATTTAAGGAATTAAAAAATATATTTTTCTAATGGATTTTTTTTTGTCTGCAAGTATTTCAAGGTTATCTATCAGTCGAATTTTTTAATCTAAGAAAACCTAATAAGACAATAATAAGCCACATTGTATTAAATGAAATAAGATATGTGAAGATTTTAAAAAACAAAAGACACTTCCAGTAAAGTAGGTTAAAAAATACTTTTTGAAAAAATCGGATTTGTTTTTGAGCATCCTTTAAAACCTTTAACTACTAATTTTCATAACAATCCAAAATTAGTCATTTTTGGCTTGGTTCGTCTGAGCTTTTCTCATTTTTCTCCGATGTGCATTTAAAAATGTAACTTCTCTGAAGTTGATCCAAATTCAACAGTATTATAACCGATAGAAAGTCGAACTTTTCTACTTTCTGTTTATATTATAAAAGTCATTATAAGTGAGAAAAATTTGAATGAGGCAACTCTTTAAAAAATTTATTTTATACCTCCAGTTCTAATTCAATTAAGGAGGCAAAATTTACGTCATTAAGTTTAAAGTGTGTAAACTAACCAAATTAAAGTTTCCTAGTAGGTCTGTAGAGTACTCGTAGAATGATTATCGTTTTTATAAGTTTTAAAAAAAATGGAGACATTTGAAAGGCGAAAAATCTGAGAAAATTTATTTTCCTAAAACATTGGATTCAGGGGTTTTGTGGATGAAAAAAACTACTATTAACTTTTTTGCTAAAAAACAAAAAAAATAACCTGCTCTGTTACGTCGCTTAGACATAAAATATTTATTTATTTTAACGCGAATTTGCCCAACCTCAGATTGATTCTTTCGTGCTTTTGCACAGTTTTATTGTTAGCAAAATTTGGGCGTTTTAAATGGTGGCTAAAATGAATCGGAATTGTTTTATTCAATAACAATTTTTTTGACTTACTATACGAAATAGTTTTTTAGTTTTTTAACATTTTATATAAATATCAATTGAATACAATCTTACATATTATTTTATTTTCTTATAATTTTTTAATATTTTTACATTAGTTTTATTTTTATACTACAAGTAAAATTATTGATATGAACAACAATACAAAAATCTGCCAATGTAAAAAAAATAAATAAAATAAACTCAATAAAAAAATATATTTTAATTTCTTAAAAATTTCCTGGTTTCATTGGCAAGAACGAACAGGCAGGTTTAATATTGTTCAACCTATTTTCATTAAAAAAAAATTAATTAAAATCAATGATCCCACATCCATAGCCTCCTTTTAAATGAAGTACAGAAAGGTTTATCTCATCACAGCAAGGGTCCTGGGTTCAAACCTCAGCAGCCATGAATTTGACTAAACGTACTTACTTTTTATCCAGGTTTTTTCCAAAACCCCGGAACTCAAGGGTTGTGGCCAACCCCGTAAAAAAGTCAGTTATTTTGTGGTATCAAGTGAACTGGCACTAGGGTGCAAAGATTCACCCGACCCAGAGTGACCCTTTCAGAAGTGACTCCACTGCCCAACAGGCCGCGAGGCCGCAGCCGCTTTAACCTCCTGGGAGGATTACTGGGGAAAAGGTTTAAGCTTAAAGCTTGGGTGTAGTAAAAGGGATTTGTGGAATTTAGTGAGTTGTGCAATTTTATACGTAGAATGTCGTACGTTATCAAACTAAATCCACTTTTATAAACCTTAAAATACATGCACAACAAAGACTGAAACCCATATTTAAAAAAAAAACTTAATTTTTCACGGATCGCAGTGAAGCAAGAACGCTTAGGACCTAGCACCAAAAAAAGTTGCATTAACATCATAGATCCCATGTCCGAAGCCTCTCCTTGTAACTTAAACGACTGATGAATACAAAAACCTTCGATCCATTAATTTTCTAAAAGGCCAAAACAAAGAAATAAATTACTGGAAAAAAACTAGCACAATTAGTTTACAAAAACCCAGAAACTACATACTTAACAAAGCTAATTTAATGAAATATGTGTAAAAACTAAATAAAATAAAATAAACAAAGAAAAATATAAATTAATTGTTTTATTACTGTTTTTTTTTTCAGTGCCATAAGTATTGGCTATTACCGTTTGTAGTCTTGGAGGCCATACACCAACTGTTTATTACTTTCCTCTTCATCACGATGATGATGCTGATTAAGGAAAATTCTCAAGACCTGGGCCTGCTGATCAGCACTACCCTGGCTGGCTCTTTTACCACTAGTATGTTAACTTAAGAAAAAAATATAATTTCTTTTCCTGATGCATGCCAGTACAGGAAAAGAAATCAAACTAATATTATTAAATATAACTATATAATTTTAATTCATTTTTTTAAATTTTCATAATCTGTAAAAATTTCAAATTTATTGTTTCTTAGATTAGAGTAGGCTGTGCTGTGCTATCTGTTGATTGGATTGGCAACTCGATTGAATTTTGTTTCGAATCGGTTTCGTGTCATTCAAGAGAAATGTAATAAAACATGTAATTTTCGACAACTTAACGACGGCTCATTGTGTAATCGAAAGCTATAAAACAGCCGTTTTACGACATGTTTATCAGGTTTACAACTAGGTAGGATTCTCTGGGGGGGGGTTATCAATTCACAGCCTAATTGAATAATAAAGCAGATCCAACTAATTGCATAATGAATGGTTCCGAAACTTGTAAAAACGACCTGGGAGTCCGTGGCTTGCAATTATGTACTATTTCACCAACGGTTCGTGACGTCTAAATACAATTGTGCCATCTAAAAATATTCTTTTTGATAATTGCTTCAATGCGAAATTATGTTTTCTTAATGCACTAACTTGCCTAGTTAGCAACACTATCTTGTAACAATCATTATTGACTTACTATAATTTTTACGCAAAAAATATAATGAGCTGTTGGACTTTTTTAAAAAATAAATTTATTTCCGCCTGTTCCCTTTATCTTTAGAATTACATAAGTTCTTAACGTAACAGAATTCAGTTTGATTGTACATGCTTCATTTTACTTATCAATATGAGTTAATAAATTAAACGAATAACACACTATTAATATTATTATTATAAGTGGAAAGTTTATGGGCCGGCCCTCTGCGTGTTTTTCATCTTTTTCGTTTCTTTCGCGCATATTTTCTTTTAAACTGCAGCCATTTGAGCGTCTCGATCTGGTTACTGACTCTCTGATTTCAGATATATACTACGTGTGTAGAGATTAGTGGTAACACGTCACGCAAGGATGGCACAATTACACAGAAGACAAACACTTTGAGCCCTGAAGATGATCTCAATAAAAGATCGAAACGTTGGCACGATAAAGAAAATGTTTTTCTGAAACCCACATCACACCCGACCGCATCTCACGATATCTGAATAACTATAGATATATACTACGTTGATATTCTAGAATGCTAGTCTCTCGTTTGTACCTCAGGTTGTCAAATACAGAATAAAAACAAAACATACAATATATATATGTATATATATATACATCACCACAAACATAGATGTCTGGTCACATTCATTTCCCCAGAGTACTCGATATTCCTCGGGGCGGGGTTAAATTACCCCTTCCTTTCATGCTAATAAATTACATTCATTCCAATAAATTAACATAAAGTCAAACACAGACACAACACAAACACATAAAACTATATACATTTAAAAATCCCTATAGCCCTGAGGTACCGGAACAGCGATATGTGCCCGCTGCCGTCCCTCAAGACTACGCACAGGTCCGATGATGTGCCAAAATATTGTCTATATACATCAAGCCTTCTGCACTTGAAGAGGTGCTCGACCGTTATTCTATCCTTACATAACGGGCACCTCCGCGGTCGCTTTCCGGCCAGAAGGTGCCCGTGCGTTATTCTCGTATGACCTATGCGTAGTCTTGTCAGTATGGCCTTTTCCCTTTTCGAACCGTTCTCCATAGACCAGGGACCGACTTCTTTCTTAACCTGCCACAGTTTGGCAGGGTTAATTCTATTTCTTCGAGCCCAGCGGGTTTCCCATTCTTTTTTTACTCAGTTTGAAATTTGTAGTTTTAAGTCCGCTGGGCGTATAGGTTGGGAAACGTCGTGTACTATTAATAATATAAACAAATAACAATTTGTGCAGATAACAATTTAGACATATATTATACAGTATATATAGATTAACTATTGCTTATCGATTTAATATAAGCAACAATAGATTTGTCCAAATATATAGAATTATTTATTTCTTTATAGTTTTTCTACATTTATTGAGTTCATAATTTCAAGAACTGCTTCTCGCATACCGAAATTAGTTTTCCTTCCTCTATCCACCTGGGCATGCTGGATTACTTATTATCATAAATCTTCCAAGATATGAACTATTTTTACCATGGTTCGTCATGGCCATTGTGGATGTGAAGGAATGCTTTATATCTAGTTGAAGGCAAAAAATTTAGTCGGAAAATAGCGTTTTGTTATTTTTGCTCCAGTGGTATTCATCCTTTTTCCCACTTTTTTTATGTTCTTCTCCTCAGTACGCTTTTTGACTTAGGTAAAGGAACTTACGCGAAACATATAGGTTTTCCTCATCCTTTGCTGCCTTTTTGCTGTGAGATGTGCCATCTCATTTCCCACTTCATCAGATGTGCCTTGACAAATTGTGGCGTACCAACGGAAATCATGTCGCAATATTTTTAGTTTTTTCCTGATTTCTTCAACTAATTCATGATGGTTGGTCCAAGCTTTTTGGACATGTCGTTTAAACTAAACTAAAATTAAACTAAAAAAAAGAAGAAATGCTATTAGATTCGCTATGTTTTTTTCTGTATGAAATAAGAATAATTTAAATAGTTGAGGGTGTTTTGTTTTACAACAATTTAGATATGACGGAAAAATGAAACCTTATTGAATTTTACATACCTGCTATTTCTTTTTGTCATAAGAAAAATTGAACAACTTGGTGGTTTTGTAATAATCATATTGTACTATAAGTTTTTCCTTGGAATGTTATAATTAAGAATTATTTTTGCCATGTTACATAACAAAAAATACGTGAATGTTGAATTTATTTACCATCTTCTACTAGGAAGGATTAACCGATTTTTGCATTGCTATGATTTATACTCTCTTCTCTGATAAAACCTGGGAACTTGAATTTTCCAAATGTGTTATTTCATTTCACGCAAAATTGAAATAACTGAGAAGAGGAGGTTATGGACGTCGGATCACCGGTTTTAATGAAACTTTTTTTTTGGTGATACCATGTCGAAAAATATTAAAACGCATATCGGAGCATTCTTGCCAATTGTCTGGAAGCCAAGAACTGGAAAAATATAATTTTTTCAAATGTAGTTTTCTGCCTTTGTAATGCTTGAATTTCGTCGTTATTATATATCAGTCGCTTTCACGTAGGATATGCAAATAATGTGCAAGATTGTATTAAATGAGATTAGATATATAAACGAATTAAATACGAAAAGATGCTTTTAGCAAAGTATGTCACTTTTTCGCATTACGGATTAATTTTAATCACCCTTTAACGTATTTAAAAACGAATTTTTATTACACTAAAACATTTTTGGTCTGGATCAGCCCAGGGCACTTTTTGTTCTTCAATGCCCGGTTTTCCCTTTAAAAACTCAACTCCTCTGAATTTGATCTAAATCCAGCATTTTTCAACCATTAAAAAGTGTAATTTCTCGTCTTTTAGCATAATTGAACTATGCTTATCTTTTATGAACATTACAGTTAGAACATAATATGCAGGATTGTATTAAATGAGATTAGATATATAAAAAGTTGCAAAAACCCAAAGACACTTTTAGTAAAGTTGGCTCAAATATTTGTTTCAATATAACTCAAATTCGTTCTACACTACCTAATACAAAATTTACAGATACAAAAAATAGTCATTTGTGTATTGAATTAGTTGGGGGCAAGTTTTTCTCCGATGTCCGATGTTTCACTTAAAAATTCATAACTCCTCTGGATTTTATTCAATGCCCACGGCATTTCAACCGTTGAAAAGTTTCAGCTTATCTTTCAACTCGGCTAGATACTCTACCACTTGAGCTATCGTGACCTCGATCCACTAGGACACTAACTTCCCATTTCAATCGCACCTTTTGAATTTTCCTTCCTTTTTGCCATTTTTCAACTTTTTATCTCAACTAAAAACTTTAATTAATTGAAAGATATTAATTGGTCAAGCGGACCACGAAAACTAGTGAGTTTCAGCTTATGTCAACAAACTTTCTACACGGTCCTACTCGGTCAGTTCCTCACTGAAGATGGCGTAATGTCAAAACGCATTTGAGTAATCCAGCCAATCTGTGAGAGATAATGGAGACAAAAAGTGACTAGATGCCGTCTCAACAAATAATGTCAGTTGAGTTATGCAATTTTGAATTGAACACCAGACACACCCAAGAAAAATATTGAACGCGAATCCAGTTAAATTATTTTTGCTTTTTACAAAAATTCGTATCTAAGGGTTTTAAAATTTTAGCCTAAAACTTATCCAAATTATTTTGTTGAAAAACAATTTTGATCTAGTATCACCAAAATTTTTTAAATTTTTTTTTTTTTTTTTTTTTTTTTTTTTTTTTTTTTTTTTTTTTTTTTTTTTTTNTTTTTTTTTTTTTTTGGCGTTATGAACTATGCATATTAGCCATGTGACAATTTCGTATATGTGTGTTCAAATTCGGGGGGTTATTGGGAAAAAAGGGCCAGGGGCAACGGTGGGAATCGAACCCACGACCGCGGCGTGAGAGTAATTTTTTAAATTAAAACCGGTGTGAACTGAACTGTAGGTTTTTCACAAAAATATCCAATTAAGTAGAAATTCTGTTTTTCGTAATTTTTATTTTTCTCCCTTACAAAAGCAAATGATTGGGAAGCTTTTGATTCATCATGGTTTTTATTTTTTTGTCGAAGAAAATATTGAATTGTTGGAATTGCAGTGAGTTTCTCTTTTCTCTTTCACAGACAAGAATTGAAAAGTTATTGAATTTGAAATGTCTATTTTTAGTCGCAGTAAAATAAATGATAATGTTCTGTAATTGTCGTGTCGAACTTTATTTTTCTCAGAAATGTTCCTAATTTTATTATTTTTTCTTTCAACTAGAAGAACGGTTAAAAAGTTTTGGGATTTAGGAAGTCTTTTATTTCTTTTTATAACAGTCCGTACGCAGAAAAATATACAAATAATATAAAATGGTTTTCGATTTACCATGTTAAATTATAATTTTGTTTTCTCTGAAACAATATGATGAAAAGTATTTGTTTTTGTCTTTCATAAAAAAAATATAGGTTGGATGAGTTTTCAGATTCAATGAGTATTTTGTTTTCGTTAAAGTAATATGTTTAAATAATTGTAAGGTTTTTGTTTGCCGTAATAAACTATTGATCTCTTTGAAAGGAGAAAAAGTAAATCAAGGGGTTGGAAGTGTTAAACAATATGCATTTTTCACAGATATAACGCAGTTAAGAATCTTTTAGATTGGCCATGTTTAACTAGACACTTTTTCGCCGGAAAAAAATCATCAGAAACATCCTTAGTCTTGCCACATTTTCTATTTTTTCTTTCATAGCAAAATCTGCAATTTGAGAGATTACTCTGTTTATTATATCCTACCACCAAAAGAAACGGAAGGGTTTGTAATTCACTTTTTTTTACTATTTTTATTTTCTACAGTGGGAGGTCAAATTGGGAGGGTTTCCACGAAAGGCTCTCCTTTTCCATTTAAGATCCAGCTGTTGTTTCAGTATTGCGGTCGAGTTGTTAGTTTAACGTGCGGAAAACGGAAAAAATCGATTAACGCCCTTTTGGCAGAGCTTTATCAACGGACGTGTTAAGCGAAAATAACCCCACGTGAAAATATTTATACAGGGCATTGTCTTATTTTATTTATTGATTTGAAAAAATAAAAGTCTGTAGATTGATGGTCTCCAGGTATTTAAGGAAAAGATTCAAAATATTGAAATTCAACAAGCATTCTAACAATTTAACAAAAAAAGTCTAGATGAAAAAATACTATTGTAAATTTAAACGTAATATAAACAATTATTGTATTGATTTATATAAAAAATTGTTATTTTCAGTTTTCCTCTTTTACTGTTTGGCCTGCGTGATTGCTCTTTTCCAGAGCCTAAAAGAGCTCGGGTTGGACGGGCTTCCCGGAAAGAAGAAACCTGTTATTCAAGGGCAGGAAAAGAAGCCTAACGAGAACAGCGGAATTAGTAGAGACCTGGTACCGTACCTCAACGAGTTTCGAAGGTACACGAGGTACCCTGGTTACAGAGCGCCTAGTTACCCTCAGCCGGCCGGTTACGGTCAGCTAATCGCACCGATTTACTGAATTTCCAATTAAAATCCAAAAATAAAATAAAATTATTGTTTATGTTGTAATGTTTGCGCCATTTTCCTTTGATATATTGTATACATTTTATTTGCATTTTTATTTATTTATATACTTTGAAAATCATTTGATAATTTTATTATTTTTCTTCTTTTTACTGATTTTCTTTTACAAATGACAAGCTATGAAATGTATGTTAAAGATATAACATAATTGAAAATGTATATATATCGTCCATAGGGCATTTATTGAATTGTACCTGAAATCATGTTTTATGTTAATTATTTTATGTTAGATTACTTTCATTCGTTATTCATCTTAATTCCATTCTTTTCTATAATAATAAAGTTTGAAAAGTGAGAAAAGTTATTACAGTAATATTTGCTTAATCATGTTAACTTTTAAAGTTTTCTAAGACCATGATGACTTAAAACAGACATATTAACAAACAGGTTGAAAATTAAAGCTTAACTAGCTAGTTCGAAACTATTGAAGAATAAATGAAAAATAAATGGTCTAAAATAGGAGAAATTGTGTGAATAAAAATGCTAAGGAACAATAATATAAACAATGCGCCGTCTCAAACGAAAAAAGGGGGATTTGCACGCTGGAGCTTGAAGAGTAGATATCGGAGATTCGATTTTTTTCTACAGAAAGGCAATTTTGGTCCAGATTGTGGAATTCTTTGACGAGGACAGCGATTTGCAGTTTCTGAAAGAAAAAAGTCCTGTGTTTTCTTCAATTTTTTTCGCGGTGAGCTAACAAACCATATTTATTTTTTTACGACAGATTATAATTTGTTTAAAAAAGAATTTAAATATGTATTCAATATTATCTTGTATTTACATTACTAAGAGTATACGAACTTATTTATATTTTTTTAAGTAAGAAGAAATTTTTTTTATTTATCTAAACACAAGAAGTGTTTTACTTTTTAGTTTTGATTATTTGTAAAATAATTAAAATAATTACACTTTTTTGTAAAATACTGTTTTTTATTAGAGCCCTACAAGTCATTCCAGTTAAAAATAAATAAATAAATTAAAAAAATTGAACTACTAATAAATAAAAAATAAAAAAATATGTAATAAAAAAGTACATTATAAAATGAAATATGTGTCGGTTTAAAGGTGTTAGTGATAATATAGAGACGTTATAATTCAATACAATCCTACAGAAGAGATCGGAATCAGGTACATAATAAATTTTTAATTAAGGTTTTGGTTGAGATAAAAAGTCAGTGTCACGAGCGGGATTCGAACCCACGACCTTCAGATAAATACGCCGCTGCTATAGCACATGAGCTATCGTGACCTCGATCCACTCGGACACTAACTTCCCATGTCAACGCCACCTTTTGAATTTTCCCTCCTTTCTGCCATTTTTCAAATGTCGTGTCATCTATTTGTTTCTCGGCGACAAATGAAATGCTATGAAATGATCAAATAAATTCTTTTCAATTAATTTATGGTTAAAATAAATGGTTCTGAGTGGATTGAAGTCACGATAGTTCAAGTGGTTGAGCACGTCAAGGTCGTAGGTTCGAATCCCGCTCATGACACTGACTTTTTTATCTAAACCTAAAGCTTAATTAAAAATTAATTAATTGAAAATAATTTATTTGGTCAATCGGACCAAGAAACCTAATAGATGTAAATAATAAACTTACATTATTTGAAATTGAGTTTTGCAAATTAATATTTTTCATTTATAAACTTGAGAGAAATAAAACAAGATTTACTCATTTAATTTTCCATTTTAGTTCATTGGTTTACGTTAAATCACAAGAAAATACTACATAATTTAACTTAACTATTCCGTACCTAGATGACAGGTGACAACTTTGATTAAACTTATAAAATAGTTTGTACAAAGTTCACTAGGAAGAAATGTGGAAATTGGAATCTACACTGTACCTAGAAGGAACAAATTAACGGCGCTGTGGATAGATTAAAAACCCGCAACACCGCCAGCTCTTGCGGTATGAGCGCCTTCTGAAATTATTCCACAATAATATTTATCATCATTTTAAACTTCTCATTCCTTACAAAACTCTTAATTAAAACAGTTAATTTAAACAATTCGAGGCTTTTATTTATTCATATTCAGAACAGTGAGATCATGATTGTTTAATATTTCATTTCAAACGAGTTTCGCTAAATTATTTTACTTTGCCGAAAATTTAAATGGTAAATGATATTTGAAAAGTTTTGTAAAGACAATGAATTAGGCAAAAAATTAATTAATGTTTTTCGTAAAATGTATATTTTATTTAAAGTAAATAAAATAAAACATTGTCGGCTTCACACAACACTCTTAAATCATGTTTTAATTGCAACGAAGCAAAACTAAAATCTCTAGGAGGAAAATGTACCTCTAGTGCAATATTCCAAATTGAAGAAGAAATTGCGACTAAGAAAAGGAGAAAAGTGGTATTGGAAGAAATTATTCGGATGGAATGATTAGACGCTTGCTCAAGTGCAGTCGTGCAAGCGCTGTTTAAGAAACGCGACAGTCTCGGTATTTTTATCTGGTGCAAGGACGATCGTAGACGAGATAGGTTCATATGTTCATGACATGCGACATGTCTATATATACTTATAAAAATGCTTTTTTTTTACCTTTCTAATAGGTTGGTTAAATAAACAGGTCTGATTCTAACAACATGTTTTTCTAATATTAAAAGGAATATATTTGCATAAAATAAATATATACAGATCAAATCTTATAATAAATATTTACCTCCTAATACCTTTCATAAAAGATCCTATAAGAAAAATAAAAACCAGCAAATTATTTTTATAATTTAAAATTCATCTTTATTTAACGCATACAATGGACACTTTTTTATATTAAAATGATCACAAAGCCCCATAAAAATTTAAGCTACCCATCATCTTATCGTCCTATTAGTTTATTACCCGTTCCTTCTAAATTATTCAAAAAATTAATTTACAAAAGAATTATCTCTATTGCTACTTCGAACAACATCTTACCAGACTATCAATTTGGCTTTCGAAACCATCATTCCACCACTCAACTTCACAGAGTGACAGATTTCATTACTTCGTGTCTCGAGCAGAAACTGTCCGCGACTTGAGTGTTTCTAGATGTTTCTCAGGCCTCCGACAAAGTATGGCATGAGGAATTATTACACAAATTAGAATTATTTTTACCCCAGGCCTATTATTTGATTATACAGTCATACCTTAAAGAGAGATTTTTCGCAGTAAACCAGGGTACGGAGACTTCTGGGATGGAAGAAGTGCTTGCAGGTATGCCACAAGGGTCAATACTCGCTCCGCTGTTGTACACAATTTTTACTTCTAATATGCCCACAAATGAGAAATCACTTACCGCGCCACATACGCAGATGACATTGCCATCTCTCTTCTACACAAGCTTCACTCATGTTACAAACCACATATCAACAATTGAAAAATGGAGGATCATTGGAAAATAAAGTTTAATCCCTCAAAGTCACAACATATCACTTTTACTCTCCATCGTGAGACTTGTTCTAGCATATACTTACAATGAACCTGTTCCTCAATCTGACAAAGTTAACTATTTAAGGTTTACATTTGATAGAAGACTAACTTGGAATCCACACAAACGATTAAAAAAACAGACACTGAACAAACGATTTAAAATTCTTTATTACCTTCTCAACCGACAATCAAAATTACCATTAAAATCAAAACTTTCGACATACACATACCTACTCAAACCTATTTGGATGTACGGGTGCCAATTATATGGATATGGATCGGCCAAGTATTCCAATATTCAAAGATTACAAAATTTTCAATCCAAAATTGTAAGATTAATTGTTTCTGCCTCTTTTCACGTAAACAATAACACACTTCACAGAGATGTTCAAATCCCAACAGTTTTTTCATCCATCAAAACATAATACAGACGTAATTCAGATATCGTGAGATGCGGTCGTGTGTGATGTAGGTTTCAGAAAAACATTTTCTTTATCGTGCCAACGTTTCGATCTTTTATTAAGATCATCTTCAGGGCCAAATCACACCCGACCGCATCTCACGATATCTGAATTACTATCGATTAACGGTCACTAATCTCTACACATATTACAGACGTTTTCATAGTAAATTACAAAATCACACCAAAACACGAATACGATTACTCCATTCCCCAAAATTACCACGTAAACGTCTGAAAAGAATGTGGATAAGAGGCCTCTTAAATGATTAATATCATTTCATTAATCCAGAGCGGCTGCCAATGGGTAGCTTTCTCTATAACGCCCGTAATGCCACAAACACCAATTACCCAATCTGCTGGTTGTATATAGTACATGTACAGTCGTAGATACAAATAAATGAAATAAAAAAAAATTCATCTGTGAAAAACCATCTGAGGAAAAACAATACAAATTTTATATAAAAGGTTAAATCAACACAAACAAGACGTAAAACATTAAACGATAGGTTTAAGTAATATCAAAAATACAGGAAATGGCATAAATTTTGTGAATGTAAAAATACTAAAAAAAGAAAACAGTAATGTAAAATTATTAGGGTAGGAAAAAATTTACGTTGATACAGGCTGGTCCAGCATAAGCCTCAAAAAATTGGGTTACATTACTTTAAGTAACTTTACAGCAGTTTTAATTAGAATGAAATGCAACCAACCGAACTGTTCTATCTCGGTCGTTATAATTTTTACGAGGTTTTTTCAAACATCCTGACATTACCATAAATTTTTCTTTTTTTCAAGATCTAGAGCAACCATTTCAATTTTTAACCACATTTTTGAATTCTGTATTAAATTTCCTACAAGAAGGAGTTATTTTTAATCTTATCCAACGCCAATGTATGTTTATTAATTCAACTCAAAATTAAGAGTTTTAAAAAAGGAGAAACTTCTGATAAATTTCCAACGTAACGTTTTTCAACAAACATATGTGTACGGGTGAGAAACAGCATAGAAACTTCTTTATTTAATAAGCTTTGTTATGGTGTACTCGAAGTTCCCAAAACGACACCCTGCCACTGTAAAATCAACCTGGAATGTTAAAAAAACGTGGAATAAATGTGT